AGAAAATATATATAATTTCCTAATATGATATTTTTGGGAAGAAATATATAAAAAAAAAAATACAAAAATTTACTGCAACAGCTGTGTTAGTTCCGATTATGGGTTTACTTACCGTTACCCGCGTTTTTATTTAAAAAATTAAACACCAGTTTTTTGAATCTGTATATAAAAAAAAACATGATGAAGCAATTACAAAAAATTACACATTCATATGTATGTACATATGTATTGTGTGTATGTATGGATAGAAGTAGGCAGTACTTACTGATCAACCAAATGTGGCGGTGGTGTATGATGGCCAGGAATCATTAATTTATTATACTCTAAACCCTTCTTTACAAAGCACTATATGTGAGCGAAAAAATATAGAAAAGGAAAAACACACATTTTTTATTCGAAAAAAGAAACTAACCAAAAAAACTTACATCTGGCGTATAATAGCGAGAGGTGTTCGTCAGATCGATAATCATACCCAAGTTCGGTATTGATTTCAGTAAAATCGAGGCATCAAGTCGGTCCTGCTCGTCCACATTTTCATTGACAACCTAGAGAAATCAAAAAACAAACTTACAATTCTGAACAAGCGAAACAAAAATAAAGTTAGGTTATGTTTTTAACTTCTGTATTTTTTGCTGCGATACTTAAAAAGTATAAAAAGTTTATTTATGTTTTTCATTATACCTTGTGTTAACTCTTAAAATATACGCAATTCATTATGCAAAGATAAAATTGAAAAATACCAACATAGGCCCGCCGGTCATTTAGCAAGGAGACCACCCTAAATGTCTGACAAAATAAATTGCTTAATTAACGAAAAATAATAAAAGTCACTATTTCAATACAACAAATACGCATACGCATATACTGTTTGAACTAAACACTTGCGCATGCGTGCGCCTTTTCATCCACTGTGTGACATGTCTTGCCTGCGAGCGAATTTCTGTGTGGTATAATTAATATAAATTTAACTTCAAGCCACTATAAAGAATGCAAAAACAGCGTTCATGCAGCGTACGCCTCGATCGGAAAGCTGCAAAGGCAAGGCATTGAGTAAATAGCAATACGACAAAAATAAAGGCGCACAGAGAAAAAACAAAGCCTTTATGACAACCACCGTTAACCGCCAGTGCCAACTCCTGGCTCCCTTTAGGAGTTGCTGTTATTTAATTAAATAAAACAATTTAATTTCATATTCATATTTTCCTTGAATTTAATAGGAAATGGCGCCTCATGTTATTCCGGCACCATCAGTCAGAAGGCGTGTGGTCCAAAAACGCATTACTCTTTTCTTCCTTATTCGGCATTATTTTAATAAAAAAAAATAATAATAATATATTTTAGAGTTTTGGCTTTTTTTTTAATCAAGAACTACACACATATATGTATGTATGTATATCTGTACATGTATATATGCAATACTTCCATGGGCATATATATTTACATGTGATCTTAATATAAGCCTATATGTATGCAAATACGTGACCAATTTTTAGCTCGTTTTACGTTGGGCACTATGGGTCCTGTTAGCAATAAATGCCTTTTGAGTTCGATAATGCCGATACAATTACAACCGGTTTGCGCAATTGTTATCGTTTTGAATTATTAAAAAAAAAATTTAAATGTTGCGGTGACAAGGCATCAAACGTCGGATTGGTAAGGTTCCTTTATTAACGATTTATGAAATCAATTATAGTGAAAGAATTGGAACATAGATGCATATCTATCTATAGTACCATTAAATGTGTATACGACGCAATAAACATTCCGATCACTTCCAAAAATAAGGGCTACTAACTTTTAAGCGATAGATAGGTTTCTTGTTAAAAACTCACCTCCCGAAGCGGCACTTTAAATGCAATAAATCGTGTTCCTTCGACCCGTTGACCCATAGGAGTATAGTTGAGCCATCTGCAAATTATTACATATGTACGTAATTATATGAATGATGGGGAAAACCATTTGAGCTTCTTGCCGCCGTTCTTAGCACTAACCTATCTGGTATTGAAGGTGCCATAGTCTTGATACTGATTGATAGTTGCCGCACTGACAACAAAAAATATTTAAATACTTTTGAAAACACTTTGAATTTTGAGATTTTGGAGGACTTTAAGTAAATTTATCAAAATTTTATTATTTGTTAAGAACTATAAATATTTACGAAGATATTTGACATATATTATGGTACGCACGCACACATGTCAACAATCAATGCTGCCACTTTACCATAACATGTTGACAGCACACTCATAAAACTCTCAACGAAAGTGGTAAGTTTGCAAATACAATTGTAAGATTGCTATTAATATTATAAATATATTTTAAAAAAAGAAAACAATATTATTAATAATGGTTTTTAAATTATATTATCCATAATTTAAAATTTTCAATATTGACAGAGGAACAACATAGTTGAGACAGAAACCAGCTGATTGTATAACTCACCACGAACAGCTGTCTGAAGAGTTATTCGACTTTTGGACTTTCGTGGCGATCGCCGAGTAAGTGTTTAATTAGCAAGCTTTGATTTAATAAAAATTCTTATCAGCTAACATTTTTGCAGGAGATTGCAGCAAAACCACCTAAATTTTATTTTTGTAATTATTATTATTTTTAAACTACAATGTTCAGTTCCAATGCAAGGAATCTTATACGCAGCAGTTTGGTAAGCAAAAAGCAGCAATGTAGCCCACGTGAAAAAAACAATACATTTATTACAGATCAACCGCTGCAAAAGCACCTTGGTGGTTGCTGAGCACAATAATGAGGCACTAAATCCGATTACATTAAACACCATCTCCGCTGCGAAGAAGATCGGTGGTGATGTCACGGTATTGGTAGCTGGCACCAAATGTGGTCCGGTAAATGCATTACTTGTTTTATGTTTGCATAATCAACAACAAAGTAATAACGTGTATAAAATTTCTAGGCATCTGAAGCACTTGCAAAGGTCGAAGGTGTTGCTAAAGTCTTGGTGGCGGAGAACGCAGCTTTCAAGGGTTTCACGCCGGAATCTATTACACCACTTGTGCTGGCAGCTCAATCGCATTTCAAGTTTACACATATATTGGCTGGTGCCACTGCGTTTGGAAAGAATGTACTTCCACGCGTAGCATCTAAATTGGATGTGTCGCCTATTTCAGAAATTATCGATGTAAAGAGCGAAGACACCTTTGTGCGTACTATCTACGCTGGTAATGCCATATTGACACTGCGCTCCACAGATCCCGTTAAAGTGATAACCGTGCGTGGTACGAATTTCGCACCTGCCGCTGCTACTGGTGGTAGTGGCGCCGTAGAACAGGCACCAACTGGAGATTATGCCTCCCAATTGAGTGAATTTGTTTCGCAAGAACTTACTAAATCTGATCGTCCAGAGTTGACTGGTGCCAAAGTGATTGTGTCTGGTGGACGTGGTTTGAAATCCGGCGATAACTTTAAACTACTTTATGATTTGGCTGATAAATTTGGTGCTGCTGTCGGTGCTTCCCGTGCTGCCGTTGATGCTGGTTATGTGCCCAACGATCTGCAAATTGGTCAAACAGGCAAAATTGTCGCACCCGAATTATACATCGCTGTCGGCATTTCCGGTGCCATTCAGCACTTGGCTGGCATGAAAGACTCTAAGACAATAGTGGCTATAAACAAAGATCCCGAAGCTCCAATCTTCCAGGTAGCAGATATTGGTTTGGTGGCGGATCTTTTCAAAGCTGTGCCAGAGTTGACAGGGAAATTGTAAGGCTACAATGTCGTCATTAATCATCTGATATAAACCGTAGTGCATTTATTTTATTTTATTTTTTTCTAAACAAAAATTTACCAACAATTGCTTTATAATTAGATACGATTTAAATTTTTTTCTAATTTGTATACAACGTATGTACGTTAGTTCGCATTCATCATGTAGCATACTATGCGCCAAGAAATAGCTTTTGTTTAAGAATAAAATTGAGAAACCTTTATATTATCTAAATCCACAAGTGTACATTGTTTTTCGCAATTTCGCTTCAAAGCATTACGTAACTGTTTTGTTGTCTAGTCGTTTATATACTCTGGTCTAGTGCGATATTTGTGTATAATGCGCGTTAGTAGTTCGATTATAGCATACTTTTAGGCCTCATTTAAACTGAACTGATACAAATTTAAGTTAGATTATATTTGAGTTTATAACGTTATGAACGGTTTAATGTAGAATATAACGGTTAATATTTTTTCTCTGAAGAGTAGTCTGTGTGTACAGAGGGCCTCATATATATATTATTAATATATTTGTATAGGTTTGAGTAGCATCAAAGTGCTAATATAAATGACAACACATAAGTTAAGTTTCTACAGACCGCTAAAAACAAAATTCAATGAAATATATGTATGTATAGTTAGACAAATCTGAAACAGTGAATATATTTACCAATAGCTTTGGCAAATCACATTATTTATCGGCTTATAAACTTAGATAAGATAACAAGGGAATCTCAAGCATTGCCGTTTTTGATTACTTTACAGTTTAATATCTTATGTCTGTCAAGTATTTTATATAATTACTATAGTAATAATAAAATCATTATCGCCTCAGACTAAAAAATTTATTAGAATTGATCACTCAAGTATGCATGTAAAACATGTTCGTGTTATAGCTTTTAATCAATGAATTCGTAGCTATATACTCGCCTACGCATGTTTGTATACATATGTATAGCTGCTACATACATATATTAATGTTGCTCATAAAAATGCGCCTGCCAAGCCATTTTATAAGGCTGTGACGTTAGCTTTCTAACTAAAACCTAAAGAATCACAGCTTAGTAAGGATAAGTGACGTCAATAGCTCGTAAAACTTACAAAAATATTTTTCATTAAAATAAAAATTTACAAAAATAAATTTGTTGTTCAACTTACGCTCAATCATTGAATTTCCTTCCTATAAACAAGGGCGTGCGCCTTCTCCATGTGATTTCTGTAAGTGAATATTATCGCCTGACCTATTTTAATGCCAATTAAGGCAATAAAAATACATATATATACTTTTATATACATTCATGTTTATAAATCGTAACATAAATTTAAAAAGTTATTGCTTTTTCTAGTGTTGTTGGGAAGTAGAAACATATACACACATATAAATATATACTATATACGTGGGAATATATCAGAATGTATGTTTCTAAAACTTAATAAAAATAAGAACAAATTATAAATATGTAATAAAACTTTATTATTTCAAAAATATTTCCACTTTCGAGTTATGATGCACTTTCCTCTGAATATTTCAAAGCCAAAGTAAACAAATTATATACATATATTATATAAATATATTTAATATATATGTATGTATGTGTATATAATTGCTGATTTAACACAATGCTCACTTGTAAATAATTAATAAGTTGTGAGTTAACCTTCTAAATTAGTGCGCAATTAACTTTTATTGGTAGTCGAAAAAGTGTTTTCGTATTTTGTGTCGATAGTTGTCGTTGCAGTCGTATACATACATATCTCCAGTGCTAGCAATCACATTGTAGTGTTGGAAAGGTGACATTTTAAGCTTCATTTAACCAAAAAAAAAACAAATTCGGGGATTTTGAAAAAGTTACAGCTCTTCAAAAATGAGTGAAAATAATGAAGAAATTCGGTATATTTTGAAATTTTTGTGTAAAAAAAGGAAATATGCCAGGGAAGCCAACAATGAAATTTGTGAAGTTAACGGAGACGTGTAGCACTACAATGGTTCGCTGCTTCCGTTTTGGAAATTTCGATTTACACTGAGGAATAATGTCTAAGCGGAAAAATGTCAAAAACTGGTCGACCAAAATGGTACATACATATTTGTTTATTTATTTATTAATATGAATATAAAATAATAAGTTGAAGTTTGATTAAAAATACGAAATTAAATATTTAAGTTAAAAATCAAAATTTTCAGTATTTTTCAAAAAACTTGCGAAATTTTAAATTTAGATGTGTATAAGAGACAGATTTTTAATTATTCAAAATAATTCAAAAATTGAAAAAAAATTTTGAAAATTTTCAATTTTCAATTTTCAAAATTTTTTTTTTTTTACTTTGTGTTATTGAAATATCTATAAATATAACATACACATTTCAAAGCAATTTTTTTTTCGTTTAAATTCCCAAACACCATCGTTTTTTAGGCGGTCACACTAGGTGTGAGCCTTAAGTACGAGTATTCAACTGTTAGTTTTTTATGTGTGTACATTAGATTTTTTATTGAAAGCATAATTAAGCGAAGCGGCCAAAATCAAATGTAAATCTATTTCCAAATATCTTTCTAATAACTAGCTAAACAGTTCATATTGAACACCCCTCATGACGCTAGTGCTTAAAAATCAAAATCAAATAAAAACAAAAATGAAATCGAATTAGTATAATATATAGACGCCTGCTCATTTCCTATTCCAGCAATCATACGCGATCACACATTGTGTGGATCAATACAATAGCCGCATGTATATTGGCGTTCAAAGATCGTATTGAGCATATGCACCGGGCACCGGCACGGGGAAGTCTCGGTGCCGGCTGTTGTCATACGCGCTTATCAATCGAGACTAGACTTTTATTGCCTTAGCGAACTTTTGCTCTTTCCTTGATATGAGCGCGAGCAGGCAGTCTACACTTTGATGCTGGTGCGAGTATTGCAACAAAACGTAAAGCAAACAAAAATTTGGATTCCAACTTTTGCATGGGAATATGTGCATGTATTTGAAAACGAAAATTGATATGTGCATATCGTCACCTGAAATTCAAAATAACGCATCATCAAAAAATTCAAAATTCAGTGTCTTATTGATTACGCTTCACTACTTCAAATTACATACATAATATTAAATATGTTCAACATTTTCATGTCCTGCGGTCAGATATAAACCAGTTTCAACGAATATTAAAATTTTGTTTCACTCATGTTCCACTTTATTTCGTGTTTCATTCATGCCACTGTAAATTTACGAAAATGTTGTTACGTTATTTTGTATTTCAGGTGAGAATATGTACTCTATAGTTGCATACATGCTTGCACGGGATATGTATGTGAGTCAACCGACAATTTTAACTGTTGAAATATGTTTTTGGTATGAAACTAGTTTCGCCTAATATATAGCTACCGTTATTTGCACGAGTTTTTAAAGTTGTTTATCGATTTGTGACAAATACGCACGTACCTACTTATTGATAGGTCTTTTTA